GCTTCTGCAGTGAGGAATATTCTATTATCATTTCAGGTAATTTTTAGTGAAGTTTTCCTGTAAAGGTTTTAGAGGATCTTGTCTTGCTGATGGCTGGAAGTTCTACTTATATGACATCCTTATAAAAAACATGTTTTTATTTATGCAGCTAAGATCAGTTCAGGCCCCCAGATTCACAAGCTCAGGCTCTGTTTTTTAATTTAAGACATGTACTTTTCTGGTCACAAATTCTGTTAAAATTATAGAGGGGACATAACATTAAGTGTAGCAGGAGTACTTATTTAAAAGATAGATTAGATTGGTATTATGTAAACAACATCAAATATCCATTGACATATCTTCTTTAAAATAAAAGGTCAGCTTTTACTCCCAGTGGAAGCTGCAGAATTACACCAGAATTACAGGAAGCACAGTATGAAAATTAATGAGGCACAAAATCAAAGTGTCTACACATAAAAGAAAAGAGTTACCTATCGACAAGAAGTAGGACACAGAAAAGCTCTAAAGCTGTCAAGACAAACCTGAGTTACGCAAGCGTAACTAAGGAAAAACAGTAGTGCCTACAGAAAGGAGATGGTAGGACAAGTAAGGAAAGGTGGCACATTACAGAAACAGTAAAATGGAGAAAGGAACACTATCACACATTTTCAAACAGAAATCACAAAGAACACAGAGAAAAGAAGAAAATAGGAAAATACATATTTTTTAAAGAAAATTGTAATTAAACCGATAGTCACAGCAAAACAAATCTAACCATTTCACTTGCTTAAGATTTCAACCAAAACTAAGTGCTTGTTCTTTCCTTGTACAATAAATGACTAGATTATAACAAAATTACAAAAGGCCTTCCACAAATTCTCAAAGGTAATTAAATGCTACTGAAATCTAGAAGACATATAAAAAAACCTCCTCTACCTGAAAGATAGTTCTGTTGACTATTTGGAGGTATATTTTCTTTAGCCATGGAGATTAACATTTTGCTAGTCTCAAAAAGCTTCGCTGATTCCTTATTCTGAAAACAAAACACAACGCTTTGCTGCATCACAAGGTAAAAGAATATCACATGCAAGAACAACATTATTAACATAATGATTAGCACTGGAGAATAGAGATTGAAAGTGATACTGGATTAACACATTAAGCAAGTTATACATTTTACAAATACTACCAAAAAAGTAGTTCTCCTCTACCACACAGGAATTATTAGTTCAATATATTTCAATATATTCAATATATTTCGTGTCATGAAATATGTTGACAATATATATTGTGATTTATGTCATAAGCCACATGTCATAATCCACAACTGTTTCATAGGTTACACATACTCTGTTTTTTTTTATGGGGGCTGATTTGACGTACTGCACCCTGCTTGAAACTATGAAAGAATTACAGGGAATTACACAGCAAGTTTAACACACCTGTTCCCTGTAACTACACTTTCACCATACAGCTTAGGCCTTTATTGAATTATAGGCTGGAAACATTCTCCTTCTCTTTAAATTTGCTCTGACCAGAGGAGGCAAAAATAAAGGAAGCCCAACTCCTCACAGCTCCCTAAGAACTTTCTGGAGTGAATTAATAAAACTTTCTGGAGATAATTATTATAACTAGGTAGAAATGCTTCTATTACCCAGAGAAGGGGAAAGATTAATTCCCATAACCTTCTGATGAAACAAAAAAAGGAGTGAAAACTCAATATTATAATTGCTGTTAAAGGCTCAAGCTGTTTGGGGCTTTGCAAGTCAAACAACAGACAAATCAAAACTCCTTTTTTTACTGCGGACTTTATTTAGTTACCATAACACTTAACTAGTTTGAATTATTTAGATACAGCTTTTTGCCAGGTACTGGCACTATTAAACAACTTAATGGTGATCTGCAAATTATAAAATCTTTATAGCTTTAGAATTAGGTACTAAAATTTCTAATAGGAAAATTGTGATAAGAACAGATTTTGTTTAATTGATTGGATTAAGTAATTTTCCTTTTATATTTCCCAGTTTCCATAACGGAAATTTTGAGGATATTTATACCTTCCATCCCCATCCCAACACCCATGCTCTGGAGCGGGCAGAGAGCAGATCCCTGCTAGTCAGCTTCCCTAGGGAGAGGGGAAGGAACAATGATAACCATTTACAAGAGTTTTCCCACTTGTAAAATACAAATGTTACTGGGTATGCCTGGCAGCAAACAGGTTTTTAAAAATCTACATAAATACCGATACAAAGTATTTAAGTTAGAAATTACTTTGAATAGGTAAATCTTTGATATATACTTTAACAACAAACACAGTTTTAAGAGCACAGTAAAAGCAAGCTTAAATCAAGACCCTAGCAATAGAAGTGTTTAAATTCAGGAAAACTATTTAATATTCTTACCCTAATTTCCATGTAAGGTGGATCATTTTCAAGTTCTGCCTTATCTTGTGCCAACTTGGCCTTCTGATCTTCGATAAATTTGTCTAAATCATCGGCCATCATTTCTAAGGTTATAGAAAAAACATAGAACATTGCCTCTACATCAGTACTTCAAAAATTTAAAGCTCGATTACAGTTGCTTAAGACAGTAGTTAAGTAATATTCAAGTTTCTCCCTCAGAACTACAAGCCTTAAGATGTTTGCTGGGTCAATGAAACACCTGACTCAGGAAACCCATCCATGGAGGAGATTACCTGATGTTTCACCAGAGAGAAAATTCAAAGATTCCAGATTATAAAACTGAACATATTTCTCTAATCTTTTTTTCTAACTTGGTTAAAATATTTTGGGTTTGTGTTTTTTTTAACTGCAAGTCTACCAATGGCCCTTCACCACACACTATCTCAAGCTTATTGTTAGTGAATCATAAAATCAATATTAGACAACATAAAAAAAATAAACAGGATAAAGGAATCATTAGACAAAAGAGTACAAAAAGTGCAAAATACACGTGTACTCTAAAATAAGGACCAAATCATACAATCAATTCTGTGCTTAACTTACTATCACAAGAAGTCTTAAAAATCATCAAGCTTATTCAAAACAAAACAAAAAAAAAAATCAGAAAAAGCAACAAAGCAAAAAAACAACAACAACCCCCCCCCCCCACAAAACGCAAAATACATGCATAGTGTTTCTGGAGTTGGAGCCAACAGCGTATCATTACCTCCTGTACCAATAAAATAGCAGAGGCAATAAGAACAGCCACAGTTCTGCAATAATTGTAAGATTGTGGATATCAGGCAGCATTGACTTGCAATCAGACAAGCCACTCATCTGTAAGCAAACGTGTACTGAGGAACAGCTGATTACCTCTCTTCCATTAGTTGTGCATCTTGCCTATTTAACTGAAAGCCCTTCAGAGCAGAAATTTTAGCATCTTATTTGTTCAATTTATTGTATATTGCTGCTCCTAGATAACCTCATAATAAAAATTAAAGTGAATCAAATTCATGACAATGGAACTGTACAGAAGTTAAGGCACACACTCAGACTTTGAATATTCTTTGTTGGAATAGTCTTATCAAAACTAAAAATACTGCAAAGCTGCATACTAAGTAACCATGGAAAGAAGACAGACAAAAACAAAAAGAATGACTGCATACAAGCCTACTCATCCTAATCTCCATTCAGCATTTTCACTAACTCCACTGGAGGAGAAGTTTTGCAAAACCAAGCCTACAGAAAAAAAATCCGTATGTTATATTCCACGCTTAAAGGAAGCATGAAACTGAGAAGAAAATTATGACCCTCAAATCCCTCTAATACTACCCACACAACTTAAGCAATAGGATTGCTTATGCAGGTTCCTAAGCAATCCCATTACATCCAGTATCTAAACTCAGATTGTACAGCAATTTTATTGAGGCTAATTCAGTATCTTTCTAAAGCCTACAGATTGTATGAAGTAAACAATAGGCCAACAATAAAAGTATATTAGAAAACACTTTCAGGAAGAGGATCAAAGAATTTAAAAAAAAAAAACCACCACACACCACCTCACAAAGACTAGTGGAATTAGATATTACACAGGTTAACATAAAATAATGTGTCCCGAGAGACTGAGATAAATGCTTACCAGAAGATGAAGAGAAAAAATGTCAGAATTCCATCAGACAAATTCAAGTAATTGCATGCTAACTTAATTTAAGGTATACATCTGCTTGATGTATTCCTTAAAATGTATTCCTTTAAACTTTTTCTTTTACATTAATGCTATTTTTTGATTCATAATATAAAATTATAATATTGTAACAAAGGAGGCAGAACTAGGACAACCTATTTACAACTACTGGTGGTAATAAAGGACAATCAATTCCAAAAATAAATTCCCCCATCTGATTTGTCCTAAATCTTTAATCTCATTAGTTTTACACACTGATAAAGGATAAAAGAAATCTAAAAGAGGGTAAGTTCCCAGGCACTGACAAATTTTATTTAGCCTATTAGGTTACAAAAGAATAATGAAAAAAACTGTTCTGAACGGGTGAAACTACTTGTCATGCTAAAGAATTTAAAAGTTGGTCTCATCACCTATCCAATGCTGCATACCCACCAAGAGCAAAATTACCACACGTAGAAGGAGGCACTGTGAGAAGCCTTCCCAAAAGCTCATTGACTGCAACATATGCATTTCTTACCTCTATTTACAATAATATTTATAAACTCTAGAACCGTTTCCAAATCACTGTATTGGAATGGTACCAAACCTATTCTGAGAGACAGTATAACAAAAGGAATATTTGCAGTATATTTTCTATCTAGCACAAGAAACACAATGAATATTCTAGCATTCTGCAGTTCTGTCACATTGCTCAAAAAAGCAATACAATAAATTAAAAAACAAAGACAAAACAGTTACAGTTGAACTACGCAGGCAATTCAATAGGTATGAAGAAAGCTCACAACTCCAGGCCTTGGAGAACACTAAGACTAATGCCACAGCACTGTTGATTCAGCATACCTTTAATACAGCTAAATAACCAGGAAAAATGGCTAAATGCCTCTTAGAAAATAGCTAGACATTTTATGTCTTACAGCTTTCTGCTTGAGTTGATCATCTTAAAATACGCCTGAGTGCAAACTTTATGAGAGAAGCAAAAAGGGTGTATTATACTGAAAGAGAATGAAAGGTGAAGAAAAAGAATCAAAAATTTTTATGTATTCTAAGCAAAAGACTGACAATTTGAATGTGATGCATACACTGATAAGTTCAGAAAATATACCAGCATGTAAGCAAATATCTCACTGAATATTAATCAATTTTATCACCTACTGTATCAAGTGAAGAGATCATGACTAATCACAATAAAAAACCAGAAACAATACATTTCTATCTGAAAAGAGTGCTACCGCAGTCCCCAGTTACAGTGTGAACTATCTCGGAGGTGACAGGACTAAACTCACAGCAAACCATTAACTTCAAACTGGCTTCATACAACTGCACAAACGTACCGAGGTAAAGCTTGCCACTATAAAACCACTTCAATTCAAAATTAAATAATCTATTTTCAGTTTAGCAATGTGTCTGAATGCATTTTGTGCATTTCTAGAGCCTTGCAATTATTACTAGCAAAAGTAGCAGATTCAAAATTAAGCTTGGAGACATTGCTCCATGGGCACATGCACAGAGCAAAAGTGAAAGTCAGAACATGCTGTAAACATTTGAAAACCCAAGGATAAACCATATGCCCCCAAAATTATGAGGTGCAAACAACATATTTTTCATGGTTTTTTGAAAACAGAATATTTTGTAAATACTATTTAAAAAAAATTTTGATAGCATCTATCAGCTCTTCCATCTTTAAATCTTGGATGTATTTGCATTCCTAAAACATTGTATTATTCAAAGTGAAATTACATTAAACATACTGCTGCTATATACTCAACTACTGTCTGAAAGCATCCCATAAAAAAATGTATTTTATATATTTTTACTCTCAAGAAGATTTTAGTTTTTCATAACCTTTTTTTATTTTAAACTGGAAGTTTTCACAAAAGCAGCTCTGAAAAACTACAGAGTCAGCCAGGTAGACTTCAACTTAACCAAATATACCAGGCAATAGAAAGCATATAGCTATTCAAGAAAATAAATCAAGTTTGAATGTTATATTTTTATTAGATCTATGCTCAAATAGAGTTAATAATGCATGTCTCTATTCAAGATATTCAAAACATCTATTTGCATACGTATTGCAGCATATGTACTATATCTATCTGCATATTGTGTATCTACTTTATCATCTAAAACAATGTTTACTGCGTTCCTTTTTGTTCTTTCCCTTCCCCTCCTATTTGTTCAAGAAAACAGGGCACAAAATTTAAAATCAGCATGTGTAAGTAGTCAGATTTCATCTATTCTGTGCCACAATACTAAAATGACACCAGGAAAACTGGCAAAATGGCAATTCCCATCCATATGAACTGCAGCAAGGGTGGGAGGGGAGGGAATTGCTTTAAGAAAGCAACAGTATGCCATGTTTAGTAATTGTACTTGCAGATTATATGGTCACGTAATTATTTCATTAAGAAATATTTTTCACCCAAACTTCCTAAGCTCTCAGAACAGCCAGTACTGGCTGCTTCTCTACCCCTGTGAACGGCATTTAGAATAAGCTCTTGCTGTCAGAGACATGCTTCCTGCACCTTTCACCTTCGTTTCTTTTCAATTCTTCTCTGAAAAAGCACAAAAAAAACCCAGGGTCTGGACGCTCACAATTAACGAACTCTGACTAAAACAACGCGAGTTTTTCATAACCGTGAAGGCAATTAACCCTCAGAACAACCAACCAGCAAGTTTTGCGAGTTACTTTCCCTCGCCGTAAGGGCTTATCTACTTTTCCAGAACACGTACTCTGATCCAAATAGACATTAATTTCGGAAAACCTTCAGAGCCAGGAGATCAGATATATTCCTCCAAGCGTGACAGCTCGGGGAAGCGCCTCCCCGCCGGCCCCGGCCTGCAGCGCCCGCCCGCGCACGGGCCGCCCCGGCCTCCCTCCTTCCCTCCTCGGCAG